GACAGTGTTGAGACCTTTGATAGACCCTTTTCATAAATCTGTAGCCCTCACAGTTCCCTGCAGGAAAGGTAACTCAGGTGAACTCAGAAAGAGGCTCCCGGGGGAAGCCATGTTTTTTTTTTAGCATGTACAGACCATTTCTTCCAAAAGTAATAAACATTTGATATTTTTTATTTCTTTCTCATTTAACCAATCAGTATGTTCAATTGTGATGTCAGTTTAATAAGTTAGTTTTTTGTAGTTATTTTTAAAAATTTTTAAAAACTTATAATTTAATCACAATGGCTGTCAGGTACACATTGGTATTATACTCGCAACACAGTACAAAGAATGTAGATGATATGTAATGGGTGAATCAGTTGATAGCAGCAGGTGCCAGAAATATGTTGCCATGGTAACCTACTAATATCAACTCAACCACCACATTAGGTATTTTTACCCTCACACTGTCTTTCGTTATAATTTGTTTTAGCTGTCATAATTAGAATAGTTTTCTGTCAATTGTTTTCTCCAAAATATATGTATGATGTTTGTATCGTTGTTGTTGAAATTATTAATCTCTCTGAAACTTGCAGTTCTTACATCAGTGACCACAAGGCCAAACTTTTAACTATTTTGCCAAACAGTAAATCTTATGAAGACGTAAATGTTTTTTATTGAAATTTATAAATTATTTAAAAAAACATTTACTCTTCCTTTCAATCAAATCCGAAGAAGGTGCTTTTATTGGCAATAGAAGCCATTTGTTAACGCCCATTACCCATGAGTCTTTGTGAGTTTTATTCAATCATTGGCTGATTCACTGCGACGCATGTCAAAGATATACTATATATGCAAGGTACATCCACTAAAGCACTGTGATTGGTTAAGATATTTTCAACCATCATTAGAAATGTAAAAAAAAAATTTGACATAAAAAACATTCATACTTTCATGAATTAAATTAAAATTCAAAATTCCAATTAAAAAAGGTTCATGTATAATGAACAGAAAAAATCACTTGTTAAGCACTGACACAATTGTAGTATGGAGAGTAATTTTTGTGATTACTTTCTTGGATCTGTAGATAAGCCCAAAAAATGCTTCACAATTTGGTGCCATACATGCCTACCTGTCTTTGATGGTATTGGAACACAAGTTGGTCAAGTCTTACCACTATCTGTGGATTTAATGTCAACACAGATATAGTGGAAAAACTTATCAACTCAATGAACAATGTAAGCGTAGCAGATATGACTGTAGCATTGCAGGTTTTGGTACACAAACGTAACCACTACAGATAACATTCATGGATCACACAAACTTTTAACACTGTTCATTTCTTTAAAATTATCCCTTATGATTGGCTATTTGAAATTCTAAACAGAAAAGTTGAGCAAAGTGATTCAGAACAAGTTTTCAAATTATGAAACTTAATTATAGTTATTTTGACAATTTTCAATTTTCAAAGATTAATATTCAGTTTATTTTCTTACTAGATTAGAAGGACAATTGGGAAACAAAAGCCAAATTAGTTGATTAAACAAGAACAATAGTATCCCATGATTCCATGGTGCAATCCTGGGGATTGAGGAGTGGCACTTTTGGGTACCCTTTTTAGTTTGCTACTATTTTTCATTTAATAATTGAAATATTTCTGTCAGCAAAATATCAAGTGTTTTGCAGTGCTTTTAAAATGTTCAAATCTTTACTACCGGTATCTAGCTACATCCTTACAATAGGTAACCAAAGATAAAATAATTGCATTGATCACTGCTGTTATTATATACACAAGTATGCACCCTGCTAAAAAACAACTTGTGGGCAACATTGTCACATTAGCGAGCTATTATTGACATTTCTTATTGAACCATTACAAGCTGGTTGGCAATAATGTAAACAGATGAAGTCACAGTATAATCTAAACCTAACCCTCTACCCAAAAACCTGTTCGCAAGTTCAATTCAGAATAAATTAAATTACGCTGACAAAATATACTCTCAACGTACTACTTGATTAGATCCCAGCATAGCTGCTTTGAATAATTGATTTCTGACAAAAATGTGAAAATGATGAATTAATTAATTTTATCATGTAGATGCGTCTATTACCTGTAAATGATATGCCCCATGTATCGTCCAGAATAACGTCAGTATATCAGGTGTTATAACCGGATATATGTGATCCCCGTATTGTGATGTATTCATACTGAATAGAACATCACCGGTTGATAAACTGTAAAATCTGAAATTGGGAAATAGTATTACCTCAAAACTTCACTGTGATCAATGTAGGATATATTAGAATACTAGCGAACAAGGGCAGATAATAAAGGTTTTGGCAACTTCAACTGTGCGATGAAATTTTTGTGCAAAATAACATCAGTTAACATATATACCAGCTACTATTTTGAATAACAAAATTACGACTTTTGGGTTATTTGCAGTTTTTTCTTAATATTACAAAAAACAATGATTAGAATTCATCGTCAATCAGAGTACCAACCTTATTAGTTTAGATGACAGCACAGCACCCAGAGTGAATTTATTAACAAACCAGTTCGCTGTATCTGATAATTCACCACTTAAATCTACTATATGGTCCATCACTAGAGTTAGAATAAACAAATTACATGATTGTCACATGACCCAACTAACTGTCACATGACTCAAATAATTATCACATGACCCAACTAACTGTCACATGACTCAAATAACTATCACATGACCCAACTAACTGTCACATGACCCAACTAACTGTCACATGACTCAAATAATTATCACATGACCCAACTGTCACATGACTCAAATAACTATCACATGACCCAACTGTCACATGACCCAACTAACTGTCACATGACTCAAATAATTATCACATGACCCAAATAACTGTCACATGATACAAACAACAATTTTTACTTTCAGAATTAGAATTTTGTTATTTTTCTTTTATCCAATATTCCTCTTACTTTGAACACCACATTTCCTGACAGAATGTTGGTGCAACATTTGGTACATTTTCACTCATTAAATTTTGTGAAAAGTGTCAAAAGCAGATATTGATGTTCAAGTGTTAGAAGTCATAGTGAAAAGAAAGTAAGAACACCAACCTACCTCCATTACCAGTTACTGAAAAAACTTTTCCATCTTGACGGATTAACAACATTTTATCTTGCTGGCTGGTCCTACCTATAATACTTGTGCTTTCAGAAAGCTGCAAAAATTGTTTGAAAAGAATTGATGAAGATCATATTTTGTTCAATAAATGTATACACACTACTCTGTGTAAATCTCACAAAATGATTGATATATCAATAAAAAATCCAGCATGCACGCAGTACCTTCAAAATATTGTAACTTTAATCAATGACTAGTAAGCTCATATGGGATATTTTCATGCAACAAGCAAAAAAATTGCATACCTAGATCAATTAAAGCAACGCAAACATTGTGCAGTGTCAAGTTCTATATATATGCCGAAAATGAATATATGCTGCAGGCTATTTTATATTGCTAGAATACTATAAAATTGTTTGTGCTTTTTATTT